GCTGAGTCCCCGCAGTTGTTAGCGAGACTTTCACCAGGGGATTGAATTTAATAAGTAGGAAAGAAGCCCTGACTTCGCCTTAGATCTTTTTCAGTATTTATTGTATTCCTGTACGACTCCTTGACCCGTGCTCCTTTGAGCCTGCGGAGAGAAGGGCTGACTGATGGACCGGCATGCCCTGCAAAAAAGAATTAAGAAGGAAAACAGGGTTTATGTAACAGGACTAAAAAGCGCACCCCGCGTCACTTCGGGGGGCACCGTGTCCCACCGCGACACCAGGAGAGTTAATCACGGCCCCAAGTGAAAGAGGAGCGAAGTTCAAGGAGCGATAAATAATCCGCCTGAGTTACGGCGACGCCGTATGTAAAACGTCAGCTATGATTTGCCACCGAATATTTAAAGTGTGCAGCCTTTTAATTTAAAATCCAAACCTCGCAGGCTCGCGAGCGGCCGAGCCAAATTAGGAGCCGCCTAACAAGGCAGGTTGGAGCAGTGATGGATGACTCTTGGCGCTGCACCAAAACCGCAGAGCGTTTAAAGGGCTACAAAGCTTGGAAACTGTTTCTTTTGCAGAAATGGGTTCGGACAAACGGGACATCAGGACCTGATGAAGGAAAACATGAGCCGGTCCTTCAGACTGTTTCCAGTGTCTATAGGCGATCCACAGAATTGACCTGTGTAAGTGATACCCTTTTCATCAGTGTAGCCATCTTGTCCTACAACGAAGGCCAAAAATGCCTACAATCTGAACTTTTCTTGCACGCTGGATATCGGAAGCAAATGTTAAGCTGGCAATAGATGGTTCGAATCTGCCGTACTCACCGAGATTCAAACCATTTATTGGCAGGTTGATTGCACCCAAGTCAGTCGTTTGATTTGAGTACAACCAACATGCCGGATTTTTACATGCAATTATTGCCAACTATATAACCACTAAAGACAGGTGGTCTGATTTGCCAATAATTGGCATAAGCATGACCTGATGATTACTAATTTTCTTGTCCATTTAGTAAACATTTATTCAGGATGGAAAATCTGAAAACATAAGCATATTTATGTACCTGTCTTGACAATTTTCTTTTGTTCATGGCACAGAATACCAACAGAAACATGAGATCGATTAATTTTATGGTCCTATAGAGGATCCCATACCCTGCCACAGTAAACCACACAGTAATGGCTGTGTGGCTTCCCGGAGTCAGAGGATTCTGTGAAGAGATCAGGCCAGGAACACTGAGATGTACTTCTGGGCAATGGACAGCCATTGCCTTGATATTGTGTGTGAAATTGACACTTGACTAGGGTCACCGAATACCTTAACTCTCGTCTTGCATATGAAACCAGAGTGGACGTGAAATGCACCAATAGGTCTCCGATAATACCTCATGCTGCTTGCCAAAACACTTTAGATCCTCAAAAACTCAAGAAGACTCTTTGTCCAACAACACACTAGAACTCAGAAGGTGAAGCTCTGACCCAACCCCTTAATTCTGTGACAAAGAGGCTATCCAGAGGCCACTCTGTGTATGGCTGGTATACCACCTGCAAGAACAAAATAAAAATCAAGCTTCCTTCAGAAGTACTGGGTGCTATGAAACCAGAAAGCCCAAATCTTCAAGGACCATTTAGAGTCTGGAAGGTCAGGTTCTGGTAGGGTAGCAAAAAGGCTACCCAGATAAGTGCCATAGCAGTCCTTGTGGCCAATAAAGACCCTCACAGGAAAATATGGAGAGTGCCCAGAGCCATTTACAAAGGTAAGGTTGTCAATCTGTGCAGCTTTGCAGTAGATACTATGTAAGTCCTAGTACAAGTCTTGGTGCAAACTGTTACCTCCTGTGTGGTTGGTCTCATGGTTGTTGGATAGGTTCCTTGAAGTCAGAGGATATGGAGAACATGTTGGAGAATCAAATCCACTTATGGCTGAAGATTTATGTGAGAGTAGACCTTTTACAATTTCTGAGCATGTGATAATAGGCAAAAGCTGAAGTTGCCTTGATGAAAAATGCATTTCAGAATGCTCAGTAGAGCCTTAAAAGATCTGAATTATCCAATCTCTACCCAAAAAAAAAGATAAGCATAGGGCATAGGACTAGTTGCCAGTATTGTCTGTAGGCTCCCTGCAGCTGGCCTTTTCACCATTGTTAGGCCTATGTATGTAGCTATCTTATCAATTTTCTTTGGTTGTACCACACATTATCAACAGAAACACAAGGAGATCAATTTATTATATGGTCATATAGAAGATCCCATACCCTGGCGCAGTAAAACACACAGTACTGGCTATGCGGCACCTTGGAGTAAATGAGTCTATGAAGAGATTAGGCCAGGATCCAGCCCAGGAACATGGGAGTTGTGACTTGTTCCATACTGTGTCTCTATGTGAAGGTGGTCATTTTGGTACAGGAACATTTCAAAACACTCCCACTGATGACAGGTAGGGTAATTATGAAGAAGCAGTGGCTGAAGAAAGTACATATTCAAAGTATAACCGAAGCAGAAGCAGGGGGATTCTTGTATTGCAGGTCCTCAGATACGGCTTACACTCCAGCAAGGGGAACACTAAGAAGCATGGTAATGACCAACTCTCTTACAGCTAGCAGTGTGAAGCAGCAGTTCCCTAGATCTCACACTGCAAATATACAGCTGTGGCACTCAAGGTAATGGAAGGACACCACTTTTTTCAGAAAGGGATTCTTGCGTTGCAGGTCCTTGGGTGCAGCTTCCGCAAGGAGTACACTAAGCAGAAGGCATCATCCCGGCATCTTTTTTTCATCCGGCAGTCGGCTTTCTTGTAAAAGCAATCTGAGCAGTGAATTAGCTGCTGGATTGCTTTTACACGTGGCGGGAGGGACCCCAGATCTCTCAGTTAAAGAGTACCTGTTACTGCCTATTGATATTGCCTGTGATGACAATAAAAGTATTAAAAAAAAAAAATGTAAAAGGACAGCGTAAAAAAAGTTAAATGCCCTGTCCCCCCTGTGCTTGCGCGCAAAGGTGAACACATGCGCCAGGCCCATGTCGGTACATAAACAGCGATCACACCACACGTGAGGTATCACTGCAAAGGTCAGATCAAGAGCAATAATTCTAGCACCAGACCTTCTGTGTAAATGTAATCTGGTAACCTGAAAAGGCTTTTAAAGCATCCCCATGGGTAATAAAATGTACATAGTCACTGTTGCACAGGCATGACATGTATCTATTTACTTGGTGTAACCTCTTCTATTTTATCAGACATTTGGGTATTATATTGTTTTTGTGCATTAAAATGCATTTAAGTATATTTTTTCCAAAACTAATGTGCTTTAAAAACCGCCGCGTGACATAAAAATATTTAGCAAAACTCACCATTTTATTCTCTAGGGCCTCCACTTTATATATATATAATTATAATATTTTCTATAAAAAAAAACCCTTTTTTTTACATGTTAAAAGTGTCAAAATGGTCTTTAACCACTTCCAGACCGGACACTTTTACCCCCTTCCTGACCAGGGCAATTTTCAGCTTTTAGCGCTATCACACTTTGAATGACAATTGCGCGGTCATGCAACACTGTACCCAAATGAATTTTTTACCATTTTTTTGAGATAGATAAAGCTTTATTTTGGTGGTATTTGTTCACCACTGGGATTTGTATTTTGTTTGCTATGTAAATGAAATGTCCAAAAATTTTGAAAAAAAGTGTTTTTTTTATAAAATTTTGCAAATAAATAATATTTCATCATAAATCTTAGCCAAAATTTATTCAGTTATCTTTTTAGTAAAAAAAAAAAAATCCAAATTAGTTTATAAGCAAAAATTATAATTCTTAAACATTATTTTTACATTTTTATTTTTTTTTTTATATTATTTTTTTATTTTTTTTTTTGACATACTGTCACCCTAGCAGTACAGTGTCACCATGGTGACACTGTACTACTTGTGAGGGGTGATGAAGATTTTTTTTTTTTTTTTTTTTACACTGATTGCTTTTACACCCATATAGGATGTAAAAGCAATCATTTCTCTTTCTCTCTGTGTGCATTCTTGCACTCATTGAGAAGAACTGAGTGAGCTGTGATTGGTCACAGCTTGTCACATGGTACAAGGCTTTTGTGAATAGCCTTGTACCATGTGACCTCTGTGATCATTCACAGATTTCACACATAGTAAGCAATGATGTCAGAAGTGACATCTTGCTTACTACTTTGCATGTGATCACTGATTGGCCAATCAGTGATCACATGATCGGGACCTCGTACAGAGGTGCCGTCCGACGATCGGTGTTTCACTGTGTCCGGAGGACACAGCGGGCACCGGATCGCGGTGCTGCGCGCTCCAGGGAGCGCGCACAAGCAGGGTGCGGGGAGGCCGTTTATAGCCGCCACCCGACCCTGCAGTGCCACCGTCCGTCCGTTTATATACAACGGCCGGTCGGGAAGTGGTTAAGGAGTAAAGTGTTGCTACTTTCACTTTAAACGCCTCTAAAATGACATACTGCAGTTAGGTATGTTGGTCCCTTTAAGAGATCGAGGTTCCCCTTCTGATGTGCTGCAATCCAGCTCAGGACATGGGGAGGCTGCTCATAGTGTAGTATTTAAATAGAAGCCCATTTATTAATGTAATTTCACTTCCAAATATTAAAAAATAGATGCGCATAAAGGACAGAAACGTCTCTGTATCAGAATAGTGACGTCCACCTGCACTTCCAGTCGTCAACCAGCTCCGCCCTACACGTCTCGTCACAGTATTGGGGTAGAGAGTTCCACAGGATGGGAGAAGTCCTGGAGGCGAGCATGGTAGGAGGTGACACGGGAACTAGAGAGCAGAAGGTCTTGGGAGGATCGAAGAGAGCGGTTTGGTAGATATTATGAGACCAGGTTGGTGATGTAGCTGGGGGCAGAGTTGTGGATGGCTTTGTAAGTTGTTGTTAGTATTTTGAATTTTATTCGTTGAACGAGTGGAAGCCAGTGAAGGGATTGGCAGAGAGGGGTGGAGTACACTGAATGGAGGCCAGTGGAGGGATTGGTAGAGAGGCGTGGAGGACACTGAATGGAGGCCAGTGGAGAGATTGGCAGATAGTGGTAGCAGACACTGAATGGAGGTCAGTGGAGGGATTGGCAGAGAGGGGTGGAGGACACTGAATGGAGGCCGGTGGAGGGATTGGCAGAGAGGGGTGGAGGACACTGATTGAAGGCCAGTGGAGGGATTGGCAGAGAGGGGTGGAGGACACTGAATGGAGGCCGGTGGAGGGATTGGCAGAGAGGGGTGGAGGACACTGAATGGAAGCTAGTGGAGGGATTGGCAGAGAGGGGTGGAGGACACTGAATGGTGGTCAGTGGAGGGATTGGCAGAGAGGGGTGGAGGACACTGATTGAAGGCCAGTGGAGGGATTGGCAGAGAGGGGTCGAGGACACTGAATGGAGGTCAGTGGAGGGATTGGCAGAGAGGGGTAGCAGACACTGAATGGTTGGTAAGGTGGATGAGCCTGGCAGCAGTATTCATGATGGACTGGAGGGGGGATAGCCTATATAAAGGTCATCCAATGAGGAGGGAGTTGCAGTAGTCGAGGTGAGAGATAACCAGGGAGTAATTAGGACCTTTGTGGTGTCGTTGGTTAAAAAGGGGCGTATTCTGGAGATGTTGCGGGGGTTAGGGCAGCATGATTTGGACAGGGATTGGATGGGGGCCTGAGAGGATAGTTCAGAATCCAGGGTTCCCCCTAGCACCCTCGCATGCAGGGATGGGTTGATATTGGTGCTATTGATCCTGACCGAGAAATCAGGGGAAGAGGCATGTGGGAGAGGAAATATTATGAGCTCAGTTTTGGATAGATTGAGTTTTAGGAAGTGGAGTGACATCCCGTCTGATATGTCTGTTAGTAAATCGGTGATACGGGAGGAAACTGATGGGGTGAGCTGAGGAGTAGAGAGATAGATTTCTTGTCTAAAACTCCTCTTGCGTTGGCCTTTGTGGGCATATGACGGTTGGGCGAGCGGAACCCTGTAACGCCAACAGACAAAACCATCATGTCGGCTTTTAGACAGACGGATGGCCCCTTAACAGGCAATTAATCTTTATAACCAATCCGGCATATCTTCTGCTTTGCTTGTGCATTTAAGTGAAACGTTCCCTTGGGAGTTTCTTTTCAAGTGAATTTCGGAGGCTTTACAAGCGGTTCTCGTGCTTTGCTCAACATGCCATTAAGAAGTGTTACCCGATGTCCTTTCCTTATTGTTCTTCTCCCACTAGGTTTATTGGCCTGTAAACTGCACAATCATTGTGTCGGAGCCGCTTTTTTGGGGCTAAACAAATAGATTTCTTTTTTTTTTTATTTTTCTTCTCAGTCCAGCTTAGGTTTTATTCGCACGGACCGTCTGCAGGAGAAATCGATCTTGGAAGTATAATGTTTGCTTTGAGTTTATATGCAAAAACAATTGCGTTTTAGGCGCGTTCAGTGTATTTTATGGGTGCACAGATTTCTATTTTTTGTAAATGCCATTAAATTGAACACAGAATGAGAATTGTACCCTTCGAAATCATTACATTATTATTTTTATTATACAGGATTTATATATTGTTATTATACAGGATTTATATATTATTATTATTATTATTATTATACAGGATTTATATATTATTATTATTATACAGGATTTATATATTATTATTATTATACAGGATTTATATAATATTATTATTATTATTATACAGGATTTATATATTATTATTATTATTATACAGGATTTATATATTATTATTATTATACAGGATTTATATATTATTATTATACAGGATTTATGGCGCCAACAGTTTGCTCAGCACTTTACAATATAACGGGAGACAATACAGCAACAATACAGTTCAATACAAGAGGGATAGGAGGGCCCTGATCCTTGGAGCTTACAATCTAGGAGGGAGACATGCATTGCTGTGCATTTAGAAAAGTCCTATAAATGCCTATAATAATACTGTGGGTGTAGGATTATAACTTTTTTTTTTTCTTTTATGGTTGAACTGGATGGACTTTTGTCTTTTCTTTTTTTCAGCCAGACTAACTATGTAATTATTATATTATTAATATACAGGATTTATATATTATTATTATCATTATACAGGATTTATTTAGCGCCAACAGTTTGCTCAGCGCTTTACAAAATGAAGGCAGACATTACAGTTACAATACAATTTGGTACAAGAGGAAACAGAGGGCCCGGCTCGTTAGAGTTTACAATCTAGGAGGAAGGGTCGAGTGATACAAAAGGTAATAGCTGTGGGGGGGATGAGCTGATGGAGGAAATAAATGGCGGTTTACTAGGTAGAAGCAGGATGGACTTCTTTAAAGAGAGAGGTTTTCAGGGATCGTCTAAAGGTGGATAGATTAGGAGACAGTCGGACAGATTGGGGTAGGGAGTTTCATAGGATGGGAGAAGCTCGGGAGAAGTCCTGGAGGTGAGCATGGGAAGAGGTGACACGGGAACTAGAGAGGAGAAGGTCTTGGGAGGATTGAAGAGAGCGGTTTGGTTGATTTGAGACCAGGATGGTGATGTAGCTGGGGGCAGAGTTGTGGATGGATTTGTAAGTTGTTAGTAATTTGAATTTTATTCGTTGAGTGAGTGGAAGCCAGTTAAATTGAACACACAGTGAGAAATATACCCTTCAAAATCATTACATGCATTGCTGTTCATTTAGAAAAGTCCTATAAATGCCTATAATAATACTGTGGGTGTAGGATTATAAATTAGTGCTGCAGATTATGTCCTAGGTATAGGATTATAATGTGTTTTTTGTTGTGTTTTTTTTTTTTTTTTTTTTGTTTGTTTTTTTTTGTTTGTTTGTTTTTTTGCTTTTGTATTTTTTGTTTTTTTTTTAATGGTTGAACTGGATGGACTTTTGTCTTTTTTCAGCCAGACTATGTATGTGTGGCTATGTGGTTAGTACTTCCACCTAGCAGCACTGGAGTCATTGGTTCAAATCCCAGCCACGGCACCACCTGCCTTGAGTTTGCATGTTTTCCCTGTGCCTGTGTGGGTTTCCTTCGGCTACTCTGGTTCCTCCTACGCTCCAAAGACATGCTGGTAGGTTGACAGGTTAATTGGCTCCTGTCTAAATTGGCCCTAAGTCCTCGGTCACACTGGGTGCGACTTGGCATGCGATATGCATACCATACGACTTTCAAATCGCACGGCATGTCGCACCCTATTGACCGCAATTACAGCTGTCATATTGGTGCGATTCCGACTTGTTCGGAACCGAACCAATTTCTAAAGTAGTGCATGCACTACTTTTGGTGCGATTTGCATAGACATCTGTGTCAGATGTCGTGCAAATCTGCACCTCAAATCGGCATGTCACCCAACTTCGAAATCGTGCGACTTCACTGTAAGTCGCACGATTTCAAAGACGGGATCGATTTGACCGGGGTGTTATATGTGTATGTATGAATGTGAGTTAGGGACCTTAGATTGTACACCCCTTGAGGGTTAGGGACTGATGTGAATGTACAATATATATGTAAAGCGCTGAGTAAATTGATGGCACTATATAAATAATAAAATAAATGTATGTCATTGTATGTCATATGTAATTAAGCAGTCCCACTGGTTCCTCTCCCCCCAGCTTGCACATGAGTCACAGGTTTTTTTTTTGGGGGGGGGGGGGGGGGGGGGGGAGGCCGGCAAGAACCAATTTTCATTGGTACCAGCTCCCACATCTGCAATCCTTGCCTAGGCGAGGATGATATCCTGTGCCCTGCCCCCTCCGCACTTCACATGTCTCAGGAGGTTGCAGGACCATTCACAAAGCACTGCATGAGCTTGTGCATGCGCATTGAGGAGCCCCCATATCCAAGAGGATGGCACCGGGGATCTGCAGAGGTAAGAATAACCAGCTGCAGGAAGACAAAACTGGACCCCAGGTGCTGGAAAGTACCTGCTTTTTAAAAATCAGCAGTTAAGTAAATGTAACAAGTTTTCCTGACACCAAGAGTAAAAAGGTGACAGGGAAGGGTCCTTCAGCACACAGCCTGTGATTGACACCCTCAGCTCTGTTCCTATGTGCAGTGTGAAGAGGGGTTTGTTCCTTCTTTCCAATGAGCTCCCCGTATTGAGCTCTGCAAAGTGTAATTTCAGTTTCCTGCCCCCCTGCTTTTTGAAAGGTCAGACAAGCTATATACATTTTGTACTTTCGGCAACTGTAGAGAGGAAAGGGCTACAGATAAACAGGTACAACTAATGTAGGAGGACTTGTTTCATCTCTGTGCATCCCCCGAGGCCAGTCACTTCACTGGTTATATGTAAGGGTTTACTTCTCTTTTAAGCTAGCCATGTGAGATGAGCTCAGGCGGATTCTAGTCTAAGCCCACCAGGAAGCTGTGACAGGTACGGGCCAATCATAAGAGCTGCGGGTTGGGGAATACCTTGACTGCATATGATTGGTCCAGTACAGTGACAACTTGCTGATGGGCTCGCTTGGTTGGGTTAGGACTAGGACTATGAGCTCATCCCTGCTAGCCATACACCTAACTACAGTGCATCCAGAAAGTATTCCCAGCCTTAACTTTTGCCACATTTTGTTATGTTACAGCCTTATTCCAAAATTAATTAAATTCATTTTTTTTTCCTCAACATTCTACAAATAATATCCCATAATGACAACATGAAAGAAGTTCGTTTTGAAATCTTTGCAATTTATTAAAAATAAAAAACAAAAAAAACCCCATGTACATAAGCATTCAGTTTTGCTCAGTACTTTGTTGGAGCCCCTTTAGCACCAATTACAGCCTCAAGTCGTTTGGAGTATGATGGTAAAAGCCTTGGCACACCTATTTTTGGTCAATTTCTCCCATTCTTCTTTGCAGTACCTCTCAAGCTCCATCAGGTTGGATGGGGAGTGTCGGTGCACAGCCACTTTCAGATCTCTCCAGAGATGTTCAATCGGGTTCAAGTCTTGGCTCTGGCTGGGCCACTCCAGGAAATTCTTAGAGTTGGCCCGTAGTCACTCCTTTGTTATGTGGGTTGTGTTCTTAGGGTCGTTGTCCTGTTGAAAGATGAACCGTCGCCCCAGTCTAAGGTAGAAAAAAAGTTCTTCCATGTAGTGGGGCTGTGCCCGCACTGCACGGGTCAACTGTTCATTTTGTCTAGGGGGGAGGAGAAAGCTGTATACTCACCCGATCCTCCGCTCCACTGGCAAACGGCTCTCCCCAGCAGCAGTGGACGGTTCCCGACGTTCTCACACATCCAGGAATTGTTTACAGTGCTAGACCAGGGGGGGGGGGGGGGGGCACAGGAGCCACGGGAACTGGTCTTGTGTGGGGTGGGTCAGAGAATTAGGTAAGTATATCTCTGTTTTCCAATTCCCTAGACCAGGGGGTCCAAACTTTCTAAACAAAGGGCTGGTTTTCTGTCCCTCAGAATTCAGAGGGGCCAGAATGTGGTCAATGGGAGTAGAAAATTCCCTGATATCTGTGGGAGTAGACAGTGTCTCAGGCTTGCTGGTCAGTGGGGGAACAAAATTACATAGCTCCTGTAGTCAGAAAAAGGAGGACCAATGTCCCATCATTGGTGTCAGTGGAGGAATGGTGCCCCACCATTGGAGCCAGTGGGAGGAGTAGTGCCTCATCATTGGTGTCAGTGGAAGGAATAGTGCCCCATCATTGGTGTCAGTGGAAGAAATAGTGCCCCATCATTGGTGTCAGTGGAAGAAATAGTGCCCCATCATTGGTGTCAGTGGAAGGAATAGTTCCCCCATCATTGGTGTAAGTGGTGGAAGGAATGGTGCCCCATCATTGGTGTCAGTGGAAGGAATAGTGCCCCATCATTGGTGTAAGTGGTGGAAGGAATGGTGCCCCATCATTGGTGTAAGTGGTGGAAGGAATGGTGCCCCATCATTGGTGTAAGTAGTG